CAGCGGAATTCCAAGTTCAAGACCTCGCATACCTGTGGGAACAAGGCTGAAATGAGAACAGTGCTAACTGTGGGAGAGGGAGCAAGCAAAACTAGACCAATAGCAATGGCCAAAACTAAACCAACACACAGCTGCATGTCCCCAGTCTCCAAATGCTAAGACTGCACGGGTGTGCCATTACACCTGGCTTACATGTAGCCTTTAACCTAGTAGCTACCAGATTGCCCATCAATCAGTATCCTGAATAAATCAACTGTGAAATTCATTGAACGGAAACATATACGGCAGTGAAATAAATCTATGATCACACACAATAAATATTATGAACTGCCTGAGTATGTAATCCTTTGAGTAAAAGAAGACAAAAGCAAGAAGATACCCAGTATGATTCCACAAACATTAAAAAAAAAAAACAGGCAAGACAGCTGGGTGGGAACATGAGAGAATTCGGGGTGCTGGTCTCCACGATATGTTTGGGTGTCTGAAATCAGTCAACACTATTAGCATATGTGCACTTCCTTATATGTCTATTTCAACTAAAATGTTTTTTTAGCATAGAAATGGAAACTCGCTCATTTTAATTTTAAAGGCAGGTCATTACAGACAATGACACAGGCTTACAGTCACAGCAGTTTGGAAAGCTAACAGAGGAAGAATGTTTGGGCCCAGGAGTTCAAGACCAGCCTGGAAAACATACTGAGATCCGTTTATATAAATGAAAGGCAGGGCTCTAGTGAGCAGCAGATGGCCGGCAGACAAAAGCTCGACTTTAAAGCAGTGAGGAGTCTACGGCCTGACTTGCAGCCTGAACAGCTGGTCACGCCTCCCCCACCACCTTTTTTTCTTCTTCTTTTTTGTTTTTGTATACGTGTGAGTGTGTACATGTGTGTGCCTGTGGGGTGTGTGTGTATGTGTGTATCTGTGGGGTGTGTGTGTGTCTGTGTGGTATGTGTGTGTATCTGTGGGGTGTGTGTGTGTCTGTGTGGTATGTGTGTGTATCTGTGGGGCGTGTGTGTGTCTGTGGTGTGTGTGTGTGTGTGTGTGTATGTGGAGGCTACAGGCTGACATCAGGTGTCTGCCTCATTCATTCCACACCATACATAGTGAGAGGCAGGGTCTTTCACTGGAACCCACAGTTTACCAATGTGGTATGGCTTCCCAGCTTATCCCACGGGTCCTCAACACCTCCTGAGTACTGGGATTACGGACAGGTTCCACACCTGCTCAGCACTGACACAGGGGCTGGGGATCCAACCTCAGGTCCTCACATTTTCAGGGCAACTGCCTGCTCACTGGACCACCTTCCTAACCCTCCCTCCTAAAGTTGGTTGGTCAGCCGCCTCAGCACTGCCCTCCCAGCAGAATGCAAGTTAGTGTTAGGAGCATGTCTCTGTCCCTGGGAAAGCCAGAACTGTCATTTCCTCACTCCCAGTCCACCTGGACGGTCAGGCCCTGGGGCTGACTGTCCCCAACTACCAGCTTCAGGATTGGCATCCCAGAGACATGACATGGACTTGGCTAAGCACCGTCAGGAAGGAGGGCCCTGGGGTGAAAAGGTACCATCAGCCTGGGCCTCCTCGGCCTGTTTGTATCTTCACAGCGGGAGGCACTGCTCAAAGCAAGTCAGAAAGAGGAAGCAAAGAAGCACAGAAAGAAGAAAAGAAAGGCAAGGGCCAGTGAGATGGCTCAGCAGATAATGGCACTTGCCACCAAGCCTGAGGCAAGAGGCAATCTCTGGAGATAATTTGCTCTTGGGGTAATTTTGGAGCACCTAGGTCTATATATACCTTCAGGTTACACCCTAGATATATTACAGAAGTCAAACTATTCTGTTCTGCTTAGGCCACCTCTATCATTTGTGATAAATGCGCTTCACACCACTCTCCTGGGGCCTGTGTAAACTGAGACCGCAATGGACAACTGTAGTGCTCCAGAGAGCTGCAGCCACCAACATCATTCATAGTGTCCAAGCTCCCCACACACTCCTGAAGCATTTACATACATACATACATGCACACTCACATACATACATATGATGACCCTAGAAATTCCAAGAGAGCCAGGCATAACGGCTCATACCCATAATCCCAACATCTAGGAGAATGAGGCAGAAGGATTAATATGAGCTTAAGGCCAGCCTGGGCTACAGAGTAAGACCTTATCTGGAAACAGAAACAAAGGAAAAAGAATACCAACACAGATGAAAGCAGGTGAGCTAGCCTTGGTTTCCTGATCAATGTACAGTTTTAGTCTGTCAAGAATGTTAGAACCATCTAACTGGACACTCCTGCTTCCACCATGAGAATCACTAGGTGCAAGTCAAAGAGGAGGCAGACTGGATGCATAATATAGCTGCAAAAAGCTTAGAAAGTTTATTAGAAAGTCCCAGAAAGCAACATTACGTAAGAAAGCTAAAGCAGCCAGGTGGTGGTGCACACGCCTTTAATCCCAGGAGGCAGAGGCCAGCCTGCTCTACGGAGTGAGTTCCAGGACAACCAGGGCTACACAGAACCTGTCTTGAAAAATAAAACTAAACTAAACTAATCCCTTGAGCAGACACAGTAGCACATATCTATAAGCACAACACTTGGAAGGCTGAAGCAGGAGGATCTCTGTGAATTCAAGAACCAGCCTTGGCTACACAGTAAGAGCTTGTCTTAAAGACCTAAAAGAGAAATTGTGCCAATTATTCTGGCCAAACTGTCCAACATGCCACTAGTCAGCTGCTTTCATACTCCACATGTGTAGCTTTCATAACATTCAATCCAGTCACTTTAATACCTACTGGCATGGCTGCTATAAAAAAACAGATGAGGGGAGAATGGCGAGTTCTGGACTTTATAATGAAACCCTGCTTTAAAAAAAAAAAAAAAAAAAAAAACACAAAACCCAAAAAACAAAACTAAATAAACGAGAGACGACTTAGCACCAGAAGCAAAAACCAAAACCAAAACAGATTATAACAAGTGCAAGCGCAGGTAAACAGCAAACTGAGCCTTCATACAGAGCTGATGGACATAAAATATATACCTGAGTCAGGACAGTTACATTATACTGCTGTGGAGAGCATCATCCTCAAGGTCACAGGTTGGAGCCTCAGTTTCTCTCACTGAGGTTGGGAGGTGGGGTCCACTGGGAGGTATTTAGGACCTAAGGGTGTACCCCTTAGGAATGGATTAATGTCTCCGGAGGCTGGTCAGTTACCTCGACATCAAATTTCTACCCTCGACATCAAATTTCTACAAGCAAGATGTCCCTTCTGTTCTGCAAGCCCCATCCTGGCCTTTTCCGTTTCCAGCATGAATTGAAGCCACGCATACTACACGGATGCCCACACCATGCTGTTGGACTTGCCAGTCCCAAAGCCATGAGCCGAAATAAACGTCTTCTTCGTAAACCATTCCGTGTTAGGTAATCTGTTACAGCAACAGAAAACGTACTAAGATACGCCGTAAGACCCGAGAGAAACGCATGTTCTTAAAAACTCACACAGAAACATCCACTGCTCCGTCTGTAACAGCTAAGAAGTAGAAACAACCAAAAGATCCACCCGCAGATAAATGGAAAACAAAATGTGGTCTTTCCATACAAAGAAAATGAAGGGAACATACAATTAGGAGCTACGAGGTTTGTGGGGACAGTAGTCTGGAATTAGATAGTGGTAATTGCAAAACATCATAAATATTAAAACAAACAACAACCATGAACTGTAAATTTTAAATAGGGAGTTTTGTTACATAAATTTTAACTTAAAAAAAAAGTTGAGCAAGGAACTTGTTGGTAGAGAGCTTGAGTGGCATGTAGGAAGCCCTGGATTTAATCTCCAATGCCATAATTAATTAATTAAAGTGCCAATACCGCAAATAATCAAACCACATAGGTTCACTTTCACCCTAGTTTTCAGCTCCTCAAGGCCTCCTCTCATACTAAATACCCAAATCCAAATTTGACCAGGGCCTTCTACTACTCTCTCCTCTGTCATTCAAGGCTGAAATGCCAAGTCTATTCCCCTGACCTTTCCCCTTGTTTCCATGGCTGATTCTTATAAATTAATTAATTACTTTTCATTTGTGTGTCTCTGCATACGCTGGTGCCTGTGGTGGCCAGGCGAGGGTGTCAGATCCACTGGAGCTGGAGTTACAGGTGGTTTTGTGCACCCTGATTGGACGCTGAGAAGCAAGCAAACTCTGGAAGAGCAGCAAGTGTTCTTTATCACTGAGCCATCTCTCCAGGCCCCACAGTGGACTGTTATTGCTTGAATCTGTTTAAATGCCTCCTCTCAGCCCAAGAGGCCTTCCTTGACAACCCTGCCTAAAGCACAGCCTACCATCACCCTGCTTTATTTCTTCCAAGCCCTTTCAATCACTGGAAAGATATGTGGTTAAGTCTTTACACTCCCAGTAAAGAGGGCAGGAGCCTTTTCAGTTATGCCCACAGCCTACCATATAGGCAAGAAATGATTTTCTAGGAAGAATGGAGTTATCGAAGAACTTTCTATGTGATCTGGAATACTGCCTGTACCGGTCGGGAAAATGAGGGTGTTAAGCCACCAGCCATATTTAGCAGGTTAATTGGCTAAACACAGAGTAACAAAGCCCCACCCTAGGCCTGTCTAGAACCCTGAGGAAGCAGGAGGCATGATTCCTCCCCCGTGAACACATGAAAGTCCTTTAGGGGTCATGAAGCACCCAGTGTTTACCCAGCAACCCACAAACAAACGCAAAGGGGAGATCTGAGATCGCACTGCCGACGCCCAAGACAGAGACTGGGTCCAAATCGCCTCCTAAACTGTTCTGGCAAACGTCCTCAACACAGCTCTCAGGACTTTGCAATCTAACCTGTTCTCCAGAGGCAGATGGCTGCAGCTTACACCTGCTCCAACCTCCCCTGAGGAGGACAGTCTTTTCTGAAGCAGCTGTAAGTCTAAACGGGCAGGTAGTGAAGAACGTCTTCCCTACCTTCACTATCTTCCCTTCTCCTGCCTCACCCTAGGCACTTACCCACCAGGAGTTTGACATCTCGGACTGTGAAATCGGGGTCTGGCATTCTAGAAAAAGAGAAGCATGGATATTTGGTTAGAAACAAGTAACTAAATAGACAGATAAATTACACAAACAAGCAGACAAACCCCACACGGAGCTAGACTCTACCCTGAGTCAAAAGGGAAGTCATTTTAAATGGCTTGTTTTTCTTTGTTCTAAGCTTGGGAACATGAGATAGTCCAGAAGGCAAACCCAGAAAATCAGGTAAGTTCCTCAAGGGAAGTCACCCAGAATGACAACAGTGTAGGCTCGCTCCCTGATGTGAGAGAAAAAGCAAGGCTGAGCCTTAGGGGATGGGATAGCATTGGTTAACAGTGCAGGGAAAACTAAGCAGTAGTGTCAAGGACTAAACACCTGCTTTAATTTAGGGCGTCTCTCTCCCTTTAGAAAATAGTTTCCATACAGAGCTATCTGGATTGTGGGAGAGACTCCCTTTATACTCAGCTCCAACTTGGGGGACTGAAACAGGAGGGCTGTGAGTTTCAGGTCAGCCTCTGCTGCACAGCAATAAACTATCTCATAAACAAAACAAAACAAAATTAATAATAAATAAACACAGTCAGAGTCAGAAAAGGGCACATTGTGCCTTTATACACAGAGGCGCACACCAGCGTTTACTGGGTGACCACCTTTAGACCTGGCAGAGGGGTAGGCATTCTGGGAAAGTCAAAGGGGAACCAAACAAAAGATGCTAAAAGGCAGGACATGGTGTCACACACCTTTAATCCCAGCACTCAGAAAGAGGCAGGCGAGTTCAAGGCCATCCTGGTCTACAGATCAAGTCCAGAGCACCCAAGACTGCATAGCGAGGAAGATGCTCAAAGTCATTGTTTACATGACTTAGGACTTCTCTCCCAAGTTCCTGAAAAAGGTCATTTTTTTTTTTGAACAGTTTTTCTCCTCAGGTAGGGTTTGAACAAGAAGATGTTCCTAGGGTTTTAAGCAAAATCTTTTCTGCAAGTGCTGAGTGGAGAAAAGAAGGCAGGAGAACCCACCCCAAAAGCTATGTAAAGTTAAGAAGGGGTTAACTCCAGCAACTTACTTGATTCCTAGTCCATCCTTGTCTCGAAAAACCAGGGGAACCCTGAGCGCTTCTCTCTGCACGTACTCATAGTTAAAATCTGTTTGGGCATTTGAATTAAAAACAATTATTTGGTTAGATTATTGAGAAGCAAACGAACCACAACCCCTTGGTGAGGGAACAAAAAAACAATAAGGGCGCCATATACACTATATGTAGGCACCAGCTTGATGGTAAAACTCTCTGGAAAAAAAAAAAAAAACAAGAAAACAGATAAGGCAAAGCCAAGCCATATCCTCCATCAGCTCCTCTGCCTACTCATTCTCTGCATGCCCCACGGGTCCCAACTTGTCAATGAACAGCCCAGGGCCAGCCTGGGTTGGGAAGGAGACTTGTAAAGAGCCAACTCCGCACTGAAGACTCACCAGCTACTATTGAGAAACAGGAGCAGACAAACACATCCTAGCTGAGCAAAATTGAAGCATGTTACCTAGGAGGATCTAAAGCCTCCCAGAGACGAGGAGGAGGGTTTTCACTATAGCTGAGCATCAGTGAAAATCTTATTGTAAAATCCTGCATGGGGAAAGGGGGGTGGGGGGAGCCGGTTTCCCTGGAAACTATGTGTTTGGTGCCAAAATAACTAGGGAACTGGGCACGGCTTTGTTGTCTTCCTATAGCAGAGTTCTGCTGGAACCCATCATAATCCTTGCTTCAACTGGATAACCAGGAGGGAAGAGCTAGTAAACTGTGAAGACGCACTGCAGGGAGACACTGTACCAGACCGTTTTCTATCTGCAGTCTGTCTGGCAGAGACCCCCCCAGCCCCCAAGTTCCCTAATCCAAAGCCCTTCGGCCTTTGCCTAATTTCTTTTTTTCTTCAATTCCCAAGCCAGTGGCTCTGACCCAAACATATCCCTGACAATGGAGTCAAGGGGTGCTGAGATACATGCTCTTCTCTCCTCAAACAGGTGACTATCATAAGCACCAGGGGCATGGGTCCTCTCCAAGCTGGTCAAAAAGGACAGAGAAGAGTCCTGGAACCACTGAGGCCTCAGTCCTAGGAAAACAGTTCACCAGAGCAGCCTTTGGGGGAGGAGGAGGCCAAAGCAACCGGCTAGGAAGAGAGAAAGAACAAAACCCAGGGCCGGGGAAAGCCCTGACCCCAGGGGCTCCAATCCCCAGGAGCTCCCAGTGAATGGGGATTCCTCAGGATTTAGAGGAAGAGAAGTTGGAGGCGATTCTATTTTGAATCCCTGCTAAGGGTTCCTTCGGCATTTCAGCTCCTCCCTCTGGTTTTGGGGCCAGATCTGAATTAACAAGCAAAATCCTAAGGCCTTCTCCTTTGAAATGAGCCAGGACAGCGTTTTAGGGATGCCCTTTAGAGCTCCCTAGATGGTAACCTTCCCTGCCCACACACCCTCTAACCCCCTCCACCCCCCAGTTTCAGCTTCCACAAATGGCCCTGAGAAAAAGCTCACAAATCCTGGTCTGAGGATTCCTGACAAATGACTAGGAGAGTTTGCATATTGTTTTCTCATAGGCTTTGCCAAGCTCAGTAGAGTGAGGAAGAAAAGGAGAAGAATTAAAATCCCATTTGTACAAAGAAAACATAAATGCACTTGGGGCTGGCACCCTGCTTTTGGGTAAAATTTCTTGGGGGGAAAAATGATTTCCCTCCCCCCACTTCTCCCTAACTCTACCAGAGCCCCAGGAGGCCGTGAGCACAAAAGAGAAACTTCAAAAAATGCAAAGCCGGGACGGGACAGTCTCCCCCAGGGCTAACTCTAGGCCTCAGCCACTCAACCAGAACCTGGAGGAGGGAGACAACTTCCCCTGCTGTCAGCAAACTGAGGACAGGGTTTCCAAGGGGGATGGGGATGGGGAAGGAAACTTAAAAAAAAAAAAAAAAGCCCATAAAAGCCATATACCCTAGAAAGGCTTGGGGAAGCAAGGGCTTCTCCAAAACTCCAATCCCACAAGCCAAGTTGGGTTCTGGGACCGGAGTCCACAGAAAACCCCCAGAATGCTGGGCGCCTAACGCCTCACCTCAAGCAGGAGCATTACTCAATGCATCTAAGAACCCACGCCCACCCCCGCCGCCACACTGTCAGCAGGAAAGCCAGGGAGAAACCCAAAGCAAGGAGGTCCCTCCAACTCCGATCTACTGTACACGGGGAAGCCCAGAAGATAAGAGCTCTCATGTCAGACGTGGAAAAAAAAAAAAAAAAGACTCTGTCTCCAGAGAAGTACCTAAGTCTTCCATTCAAACTGCCAAGGGAACCGGTATTTTAGCTTTAGGCCTGAGCGGGTAATCCATCATAAATCTAACCTGGACCCCACGATCCATACTGTCTAGGTTTGTAGCGCTAGAGGCCCCGGCCCGCTCAGTCCCTTCTCCCGTGCCGCTGCAGGGCAGGACCCACGAGGGGAGAAAGGCGCTACCGACCCAAGGCTCGAAGGGGCGTAACCCTAACAGCGAAGGTGCTGCCACCTCCAGTTCCAAAGTCCATTTCCAGTCCCTAACCCGCCGGCCCAGGGTGACAAGGGCTTGTTGAAGGCTTCGAGCTTAAGGATCACCCCGGTAAAGATGCTGCTGCGCCCTTGTCTTCCCTTAGGGCAGTGTCTGGCCCCGGGTCGCTCTCAGTCGGATATCCCCTTGGCAGTGACCACCCCGGTGCTAGTGATGGGTGCAGTCAGGGCCTAGGCCCACGCCAGGCCCAGCCCTCTTCCTGCCTGCCCTCCTCCCTTACCACCCCCACCCCCACCCCAGGGCTCAGGCTCGTTTCGTCACCGGATCCCCTGGAATGGGGGACGCGGGCGCGAAATACGAAGCCAGCCACAGGCAGCTCCCTCCCCACGTGCGCGCTGGCCGTCTGCACAGGGTGCAGCCAGCAGAGGGGACACCTCACCTTTGCCCTCCATGGCATGCACGAAGTCGCCCTGGTACAGCTGGCTGCGCAGCTTCTCCTCCAGGCTGAAGCCGCGGACGCTGACAATTTCCTCCACGTCCGACAAGTCCTCGTTCTCGTCGTATCTCTGGCGGTCAATCGCGCGCTGTGGGGACCCAACCAGAGAACCCGGGGCATTACTGAGAGGACTTGGGGGGGGTCTCCTCTCACTCTTGGCCCACCGTGAACAGGTGCAAGGGTCGCGCGTCCACTACAACTTGGCGCAAATGCCAAAGATGCTGAAAGGCAGAAAGGGGGGCTCGCACCCCCAAGGCCCGACTGCTTTTCCACGAAGCACTCCCCTCCTGCATCTTTGGAAGCCACGGAAGCGCTATTTGGGAGCTTTCCTCTGCCCTCACCCCAGGGATGTACTGAGCTTTGACCGCTCGACTGGGAGCCCGGTTATGTAACCCCCAAAGGGGGCTCCGGGTATGAGCTGGCGGGGCAGATGTAGGCCCCGGGAGAAGCCGCTGCGGCGCCCGGCTCGGCGGTAACAGCAGCCCCGGCGGCCACGGCGGCCAACCCGGGAAGCCGGAACCCAGGGCCGGCGGCATTACTAAGGCTGGAGCCGCTCCGGAGCTACAGAAAAGCTGGAAAGCTGAAACGTAAGGATTGAGACCTAGCCGCCCCCGCCAACCGACCGACCGCTACTGCAAGAAGAGGAAGGGAGGGGAGGAGGTTCAGAGCGTGGGGAGAAGCAACCGGCCCGCCACAAAGCTTCCATCAGAGACCCCAAAACGCACCAGCAGCTGCCTCATCGCCCCACGAGCGCGCGCGCACACTCACTTCCTAAGGAGACTCCCCCACCGCTCCCCGCATCCCTCTTCCTCCTCCCTCCGCCGCTCAGAACCAAGCCCCGCAGCCCCCCGGATCCCAGGCGAACCCCGAGCCCGTTCAGCCCCTTCCACGCCTTTCGGCGCTACCTCCTCCCCACTTAAGTGTCTGAGACCCTGAGCCTCACAAGAGACTGGAGGAGTAAGCTGCTTGCTTCCTTTTGCATGCAATTTATTATTTTTTCCGGTCCTCTTGCAAAATACAGAAAAGGAAAGAAAAGGCAGCAAGAAACAACCAAAAATAAATAAATAAATAAATAAATAAATAAATCGTATACCAGATACAGATTTGGGGGAGGAAAAAAAAAAAAAGCTACACACCAATCTTCTTCCAGAGTCTTTCTCTGCCTCCATTTTTTTAGGAGAGTTCACCAATTAATTGTCAACACTCCTGCCCCCTGCATTTTGGCGGAGGGGGGGAAGGAGGGAAGACCAAAGAAAAGAAACCAAAAAAATAAATAAATAGAGCAAGCCAGAGCCGATATCTAGAAAGTTTTGCACCAACACTTAAGCAGATCCGTTTGCAAAGTCCTAGGAAACCATTTTCAGCAGTTGTGGGGGGGGGGGGAGGCGTCGACGTCATAATCCCCGGAACGTAAACATTGTTGCCGATCGCGCTCGGAGCTCGCGGCTGGACTAGTTGGGGAGAAGGGGGGCTCGGGCTGGGGGTGTCGGGGACCGCAGCCGCAGTAGGTGTAGGGCCAGAAGGGAGCCTGGGACGCACCGGGCGCCGTTAGCGCCTTGGCATCGCTGTTTTGTTGTTGGGTCACGAGTGCGCCTCTGCACGCAGGCGCCGCCGCCGCCCGGGAGCTGACTTTTGGAGGGCTGAGTTGCAGGCGGCGGGTGCATCCCAGAGATGGCGGGGCAGGGAGGGAGGGAAAGAGAAGAGGGGGTGGGGAGGGAGGTGCAGATTTGCACGGATGGCCTCAGCGGGAGGCGCGGAAATGCTAGCCGAGCCTGCTGGCGAGAAAGCCCCGGGGGCTTGGCACCCCCCCAAAACGACCCCCCCGCCCCTGCCCCTGCCCCCTTGCTCGGGTGACCCACGACTGCTCCTCTCTTCCTGCACCCACCTTTCCTCGTTACCTATGCTGGCGACCTAAATTCAAAGTGTTTTGTGTATGTATAATTTCTCTTTCTGTTTTTGCTTTTCTACTGCATGTCTAGGGGGGAGGGGCCAGCCGGCCCAGACCCCTATCCATTTGCGAACCTGCCATATGGAGGAGGCATCTGAAGGGGCTCAGAAAGAAATTAGCGCAGCTCTGTATCTGTATAGACTGCATAACTTTTAAACTCCCGGGGCTGAAATAATAATGAGGCAGACGCACAGGTACAGGAAATACAGCCAGTCCACAGCCTTTTCAGACTGCAGCTGACCGGAAGACAGCCTTTCATTCATTCATTCGGACAGCCTCCGTAGAAGAGCCCTGAAGCATAAGTTGGGCTTTTAAAAAGGAGAGAGAGAGAGAGAGAGAGAGAGAGAGAGAGAGAGAGAGAAAAGTCTCTACACTCGCCGAGAAGCGATAAATCGATACACAGGAGGGAACTAGAGAATCGGATTCAGCGTCCCCAATGCAGGCAGGCGAAAGGTAAGCCCCGTAAAGTTCCCTTAAGGCAACTCAAGAGGAAGTTGGTGGGGATGCTCGTGGCTTTCTGGGGTAGCACGTCTTGATTAATCCATGTTTCTCCAGGAGGAAGGAGGGACACCCGGGAATATGCTCGGACTATCAGATCCCTAATGCTCCTGTGTCCCCTGAAGTAGTGCTTGTGTCTGCGCCTATAATTGGCCCCGAGTGATCCTGTAATTCCAAAATCAACAAGTCAGGTCCATTTTAGTTGGGAGAAAAGCTTGCCCGAAACTTTGCTCCTTCCAGGCCTCTTGTGCCCCGAAAGGCCTAATGACAGCACCAGGGAAACTCTGAGAGACCTAGATGATCCTCGTAGATCATGACTGCGGCTTTTTACCCAGTGCACAAGTTAAAGCGGGTCATTTTGCACGTTGGGAAACCCAGATTGAAGAAATTATGAATGTGGACGGCAGCTCTTTTTATCTTGTCCCAGTATCAACAAGCTCTGGCTCAGGCAGAGGTGGGGAGGAAGTGGCCTGACCACCTGCGAGCGGGCTGAGCCAGAGATGGTCGCTGCGGGGATATATGCTTCTCCCTCCCTCACGTTAGAATTCCTACCTTATCGTTCCGTACTCTTTCCAACGTGTCCCCAAAGCTACCGCCTGAAGTCTGTTTTCATTCCATCCGTGCACGCTATCGGTAGAAGTCTTTTACATAGTGATGGGGCACCAAACACCAAAATTTGTAACCAATGTAGCTGTGATAGGATTCTGAAATCATAGCTACACTGGCTCAGCTCCATCCACTGGGCAGCCTTTCGAGCAGCCCAGTTAGTGGTGGAACATTTGACCTAGGAAGTAAGCATAAGGCCCTGGGTTCCATACACACACACACACACACACACACACACACACACACACACACACAACCGTTTAGTTTGCCTTGCCTCTTCGCGTGAGAAAGAATCTTTTAAAGGGAAGGTCTTGTGCCTTGTTGCTCCGTTTTGTATAGGAGGAAGCTGGAATTCAGAAAGGTGAGACCGCTCACCCTGGAACACACAGCTTGCCTTTGCAAATGTCCACCAACTTCACTCATACTTCAGAGAGAAAGAAAGCTGCTTAAAGGAGCTTTGATCTGAGAATCAGCACAAACATAAAGCAAAGCTGTCAGGTGCGACCCTCCGGGTCCTCGTTCTTCATCTTCCTCCCTGAGGTTCTCTTTCCCCCTGAGGCCTCTGAGACCTCCAAAGGCAGGAGTTAGGAAAAGTCTGGTGTTAGACCCTTTTCGTGTGACAGCACTTAAGTTCATCTATCACATCCATGGGAGTTCCTGACTTGTCATGTGGGAAGAGGTTAACTAGTTACCTGATTTGATCCCCTCCCTTTACAAACCTGAGAGAAGAATGGGCCAGTCGGTTGTTTGTTCCCCTTTGACTTCCCCTGAATGCCCACCCCTCTGCTGGGTCTAAGTGGTCACTCAATAAACGTTGAACCCTTGATGGATCACCTTCTCCAGCATATTTGCATTTTCTCTTTATCAGTAATTGGCAGATGAAAGGCTTTGTCCTCAGTTGAAAGAATTCCAAGCATTCCCTCTAAGTGGGGGAGGAGGTTATTTTGGGCCAAAGGGGGAAGGGCCAGACCCTTGAGCTCTAACTTTGGCTGTTGGTCCCCCAGGAGCTGAGAATAGGTGAGAGTTAGAGAAAAGATGAAGGGGCTTATTTCAAAAGATGAACTTTTAATGAGGAAAAAAAAAAAGCCTCTGGAAACGAAATAATGTCTTCCTGTACCTTCCTTGCTTGATCCTGTAAAAGGCCCAGTCAAATCCTACCTGTCTTATACTCGTTTAGTTGTATCAACCATCCTCAAAGGCTAATTGAGCAGCTCTGTGTCCAAAGACAGAAAACAGAAATAACAGCTTTACACACACACACACACACACACACACACACACACACAGTGGGCTTGGCTGCTGCTGGATGGAGCTCTCAGAAGCCAGGGTTTCTGGATTAGGAAGAAACACTGTTCTCATGCCCTCATTCTAGCTCTTAGTTTTCCTCTTTGTAAGACAAGGGTCTCTACCTAGCCCTAGGTAGCCTGGAACTTGCTGTGTAAACCAGGCCAGTCTCAAATTTTGTGTGAGCCTCCTGCCTCTGTCTCCTGAGCCTTGGGATTACCTCAGTTTCTAGCTCCAGGCCCTTAAGAACGTATGGTGCCTTTGAGTAAAGCCCTTCATATCTGCCATCTCTTTTAAATCTTTGCAAATTTCTCCCCATTTATAGCTAAGGCTCAAAGAGATGCTAAGTTATTTGGCCACAGTGATATTATGGGTACAGGATTTGAGCCAAGAGTTTGTAGGAATCCAGAGCCCACAAGATATAAGCTACTATATAAGCCTACTTGTGGGACTATGACATATAGAACCGAGCTACTCATGAGTAATAACCAAGAATTCACTCCACTGTTGAAATACACTGTCTGGTGGTGATGGTACTCGCCTTTGATCCCAGCACTCAGGAGGCAGAGGCAGTGCGATCTCTGAGTTCAAGGCCAGCCTGCTCTACAGAGTGAGTTCCAGAACAGACAGCTAGAACTACACAGATAGACCCTGTCTTGAAAAAACAAAAAACAAACAAAAAGAGTTAAACTGGACATGGTAGTTCATGCCTGGACAATATAATGAAACCCTGTGTCTCAAATATTAAAAAAAAAAAAAAATAGTAATAATGGGCTAGGGTTATAGCTCAGTGATACAGCACTTAGCATTGTATGCAAGACCCTTGATCTCACCACTGCAAGCAAGCAGAGAACTTAAAACAATGAGGCCTTAGGCCTTTGCCACCGTTGCTCTTTTAAGATTTATTTATTATATATACAGTGTTCTGCCTGCATGTCAGAAGAGGGCACCAAATCCCATTATAAATGTTTGTAAGCCACATGTGGCTGCTGGGACTTGAACTCAGGACCTCTGGAAGAGCAGGCTGTGCTCTTAACCTCTGAGCCATCTCTCACCCTTAAGGTGCCTACCAATCTATTTATATATGAGTCAAGGTTCAGTATGGCTTAGCATCTCCATTATCAACTACCCCAAAGCATTAACAGAATGAAGAGTCCATGGAGGCAAAGATAGCAGCAAAGGTTATATAGAAGAGTGCATTTGGTCCACTGTGAATTTTGCAGCCTTAGAATTTGAAGCACTTGCTCCTGGTGCCTGCCAGGAGCATGGCACTGTGCAGGAGCCTGGTAGGGTTCCAATTGGGTGGGATTGGTTCACCTGAGATCTTACAAATGAACTTAAGGATGATATATACCCTATGGATTGACTCAGACCATATAATGAAGCTCAAGCCAGGCTGAGGCATCAGGAGTTACAGTCCACAATGATATTATGGCTACAGGATTTAAATCCAGAGCCCCCACAAGATTATGGTCTTAGTGAGGACCTGTCAAAAAACACGAAAAATGAAATTAAGGCTCACAGTTTGATCTTCAGCACTGAAAAAGAGAATACATGTTAATATGGAATGACTTGATATTCTTAAATTAAAACATGATACAGAATCCTAAATTTTACTACTTGGGTAAACCAAAGAAGATATTTCTAATTTTTTTTTTAATTTACTTTATGTGCATTAGTATAAAGGTGTTAGGTCCCTTGGAACTAAAGTTACAGACAGTTGTAAGCTGCCTTGCGGGTGCTGGGAATTGAACCCGGGTCCTTTGGAAGAGGAGACAGTGCTCTTAACCACTGAGCCACCTCTCCAGCCCCTACTTAATCTTTTATATGCACTGAATTTTCTTTGGAAAGACATAACAATGGGGAAAAGAAACATGAAAAGAGAAGGAAAGCTATTCTTTGGTACACTGTGAAACTTTAACCACATGTATGTATGAACAGTGTCTGGTGCAGACCAGAGGGATTTAATTTCATTCTGTACGCTGTAGTGCCTTCTCAACTCTGCACCATGGAAATGTTTTACCTACTCAGAAATGAACTCCAGGTTACTGGTTGTAGCTCAGGCATAGAATGCTCGCCAGGATGGAGAGGTTTAATCCACAGCGTAACAGGGGATGGAGGTGAACAGAATGATGAATAGAAATTAAACACAGCAAAACCTTGTATGTGCAAGACAGTACTGACAAATTTTGTCCTATTTTTGTATTCCTTTTGTATTTTGAAACTTACTTGTCTTTTTAATATAGCAGCAGACCAAGCTGTTTCTATTAAAGTGATTGTTCTCAAATATCTTCTGTTTATTTTGTTTTTTAGTCCTCAGTCCCTTGTGGATTGAAGTCAAAAAGGAAAACCAAACTGTTGAAAGACTGTCAGGCCTGACTCTTGGGGAAAGGTTGACTGTTCTTCCTAGAACCCTGCATTTCATCCTGTCTCTTCCTGGGTAAGGACTGGAAAGACCCCTTGAAACCACAGGTGACTTAAAGGGTTAATGCTGTGAAACAGAGTCATAAAAGTTCAAAGATTCTTTCAAAACTTGCATCTTGAGATTGATGGACATGTATGGTAGCCAATGGGAATAAAAAGGCAGGCATTACTTCATCATGCTCAATTGTCACTGGTTGACTGTCCCTGAGGAGTGCAGGGGAAGGCTGGCAGTTAACCCTTCAGGACCCACCATGCCCTCTGCATTCCCTTTATTTTGAAAGATGAAGCACAAACAGAAGAACCTCTAGAGCCCTCCCACCTTCAGGTGCTACCTTTCGGTCCAACCACCAGGATCTCTCCTATCAAAGGAATACCTTTATTCCAGCAGATGTCCCTGGAATAAAGTTGTGAACTTTTTAAAGGAATCAGCTGACCTTGCTGAGGAGGAGGCCAGGGGAGAAGTGTGATTCCCTTTTTGTGCTGTCAGAACACAGACCCGCGTTAGAGGCATTTCCATTAATCTTGTAAAGTGATCAGTCACTGGAAGGATTGAATTGCATTTCCTGCCCAAAGATGTGGAGACAGATGACCTTTGCAGCAGCCCTCAGACCCCCAGTTCACAGCTGGAGAGAGGATGTGTCAGCATTTACTTTCCAGTCTCACCCAGCCCTTTGTTCAGAACTCAAACCCTTTGTGCTCAAGCTGCTGCAGGGGGATTTTGCAGTTGTTGATGCAGGTTCTGTTTTTTTTTTTCCCCCCCTAACCTCCTACTTCTTACAGCTTCTGAGAAACAAACTCTGTTTGGCAGAAGATGGTATCTAAGAGTGGCCCCCAGAGGGAGAACCAGAATAGATGTGGGGAATTTTGAGAGGCCACTTGGCCTTTTGGCTGTAACTGTTGCCCTTTCCTGGGTTTCCTGAAAACGACAGGCTGAACTGGAGGGAGCCAGAAATTTAACAAAGTCACAATGCCTCATGTTTAGGTGGCTTCATTTAAAACAGAAGAAGAAAACAAAGCTTTTTACGTGTGTTATCTCAAGTCAAAGGCACTGCTAAAGGATCATTGTAAACCTCTGGACAGTACATCTCTTTTCTCACCTATAAAATGGAGGTTATAATATGAAATACACTATAGTCACATGAACCAATGTTAGAAAAGGGCTCATCCAATGTTGTTATTCAAACAAAGCTGATGTTTTGGGTACCAGGACCTTAACATTTTGCTTTCTTCCAAGTTTGAGGTTCAGGGGGAGAGTCACCTATGGAGGATGCTATCTCTACGTATTTTGAGACCTTTAACTATTTTTTTTTTTTAATGGTATTCTGCCTGCATGTTGCCTGGTCACCAGAAGGGAGCACCAGATCTCTCTATAGATTGTTGTGGCCACCATGTGGTTGCTGGGAATTGAACTCAGGCCCTTTGGAAAAACAGATGGTGCTCTTAACCACTGAGCCATCTCTCCAGCCCAACTAAATAGTCTGTCTCTTTCAGACCTTTGTACCTGTTGGTCCTTTCTCTGCATTTTCTCCTACTAGCTGCTGTCTCTCCAACATCCTCTTAGAATCTGCTTGGGTATATTTCCTGCCAGCTTCTAATGCTTAAACACATTATGTTGTCTTAATATTCCCTCAGGGAATCAGACCCAGGACCTCAGCAGATAGCAAAATGCAAGGATACTCAGGTCCTATAATGGTGTGGTGTTTACATGGAACCCCCATCCTCCATCTTTTGAATTATTGCCAGATTATTATTTTGGTTTGTTTGTTTGTTTGTTTGTCTTAATAACGGGGCTATGCTGGAACTCACTTTGTAGACCAAGCTGGCCTCAAACTCACAAAAATCCACCTGTCTCTTCCTCCAGAGGGCTGAAAGGCATGCACAACTACACCCAGCCTCCAGATCATTTTTAATACCTAACACTTAAATGCTGTGTAAATAGTTATATTATAGTTGTGTTTTTGGGGAATAATTTCAAGGCAGAAAAGATGGGGGTGGGGGAATTTTTTTGTTTGTTTGGTGGATTGGTTGGGTTTTTTTTTTTGTTGTTTTGTTTTTGTTTTTGAGACCGGGTTTCTCTGTATGTAGTCCTGGCTATCCTGGACTCATTTTGTAGACCAGTCTGGCCTTGAATTCACAGTGATCCGACTGCCTCTGCCTCCCTGAGTGCTCAGATTACAGGTGTGTGCCACTGAGCCCCGCTCAGGGAGAAAAATTTTAAAACCCTTCTCTATGTGGAAAATTTTCCCTCAGTACATTTTCGCTTGCTTTTGTTGTTTGTGGGGATGTGCTAACTAAGCACTTGTGTGGAGAACACAGGGCGACTTGCAGGAAGGAGTCAGTTCTCTCACTCACTCTGCCATGTGGGTCACAGGGATCAAACTCAGGTCATCACATTTGCTGAGCCATCTTGCCAGCCTCTAGTTTGTCCATTGCTGCTGTTGTTTTGAGACAGGGCCTCCTTGTATAGCCTTGCCTGGCCTGGAGTTTACTATGTTAATGAAGCTGGCCTCAGACTCAGGAAAATGTACTTGCCCTCAGTCTCATGAATGATAGGACCACAGGCATGAACTACCACACCTAACTCCAGAAGGAATTTGGAATTTTTTAAAATGTATTTTCTGAGGTTGGGGATAAAGTGCTTAGCATGTATGAGGCCCTAATTCAATCCCTAAAAAAAAAAAAAACTAATAATAATAGGAACTGGGAAGATGCTCAGTGGCTAAGAGTGCTTGCTGAGCAACCGTGGGGATCCTAACACATAAGCCAGGCCTGATCATACACACACCAGAACGGTGTTGGGGTAGAGACAAGAGGATTGTTGCAGCTCACCGGCTGCTAGCCTGTCAGAAAAACAAGAGCTTCAAGTTCAGAGAGAGATCCTGCCTCAAAAGAATGAGGTGAAGAATGAGAACACCTTCTACCTCATCTGGCCTGTGCACTAATATGTAGAAGTATCCGCACATCACACACATACACACGCGTCATAATCAATTCACAAATGCTGCATCTGTGACCATGGAAATGGCTGATATATCTTGGTGCGACTGATGTCACCAGACTGTCTTGGGAGCATCCCACGGCTCACCTGTATACTGCCAGGGCTTTGGGTGGGATAGGTAGTCACGTGGCTACACACTCCCCCATGCCTGTCTGTCACTTTGACATATTCATATCCCAGATAGCACCTCTGCCTATTTACTCCAAAACTACAACTTCAATGGAAGCCCGCCACCCTACCTACCATCCCTCCCACAGTGCTTGGAGTTGCTCTTTCCCTGGATAAATAATTGTGATAGCTTTTGCAGGTGGCGTCACTGGCTTTTAACCCTTTCAAAATGGAATCCAGTAATTCACAGATTGTCCATGACACATAACCTTGATACACACACACACACACACACACACGCATGCACGCAGCCTTTATAGGAAACCCTCCCGCTCCCTCCCTCCTGTCCACCTGTTCTGGCAGAGAGTAGGCTTTCCCCTGGGGAGGATTGAATGTTCTGAAAAAGGACAGTTGGCTCTTCTCCATAGCTCCAAGAGAAACTCTTAACCATCTAACATCTGCCTCTCCTGTTAAGTAAAAATCCCTTGCAAAGACAGACCTTGTCTTCAGCCCCTTGGATCTGGCTCACAAACTACACATTTAAAAATACTCAGGGGTGTGCTGGGCATAATGGCACATGCCTGTAATCCCAGCACTCAGGAGGCAGAGTCAGATGGATCTCTTGAATTCAAGGCCAGCCTGTTCTACAGAACAAGTTCCAGGACAGCTAGGGCTCCACAAGAAAACCCTGTCTCAAACAACAACAAAATACCGTCAGGGGCTGGAGAGGTGGCTAGTGGTTAGAAGCATTTGCTGTTCTTGCCAAAGGACCTTTGTTTAATTCCCAGCATTCACATGGTGGCTCACAACCATCGGTAGGAACATGTAAGGTACCCCATACATGAAGCAAAACACTCATACAGCTTAAATAAATATTTAAAAACTTAAATATGTGCAAATAATATGTTTTGCTTTTTTGAGATAGGAGCTCTAAAGCCCTGGCTGTCCAAGAACTCATTAGGTAGACCAGGCTAGCCTTGAACTCAGAGATCCTTCTGTCTCTGTCTCCCAAGTATTGGGATTAAAAGTTTGTGCCACCATGCCTGTCTATTTACAAATAAATATTTAAAAAAAAAATATTTTCTAAGAGTTACATAGAGCTGGGCAAGGTCATATGCACCTTTAATCCCAGTACTTGGGGAGCTGAGGTTGGGGAGAGGTTAATGACACGTCAGTCCCTGGGTTGAAGGCCAGCCTGGTCTACAGAGCCAGTTCTAGGACAGCCAGAACTACACTAAAAAAACTTTGTCTCAAAAAAAGCTAAAATATAAATAAATTAATGAATGAGAGTTACAAGGAAGACAGAAAGTGGTGAGCTGTGCTTTTAATTCCAGCACTTGGGAGGCAGAGGCAGGTGGATTTCTGTGACTTTGAGGCCAGTCTGGGCTATAGAGCAAGTTCTGGGACAGCTAGGGCTACACAAAGATACCGTGTCTGGGGAGAGGGAGGGGAGGAAGTCATATGGAGAAGTAAATTTCTCAAACCCTGAAATAGACCTATTTTCAGCTTAATCAGCTAAACCTTACAGAGTTTTTTGTTTGTTTGTTTTTGTTTTTTGAAAAAAAAATATGAAAACTCTTAGGCATCTTCCTGACATACAAAAGGCATGCTACAGTGTGGAATGGGAGGAAGATGGTGCTGTGTGCCTATCCATCCGCTCCTCCACATCCCGGCTGCCACTATAGTTCATGAGATTCACTGGGCAGAAGCTGAGTTGCGGGCTGTGTGGGGGCAGAGGGCCAGCTTCATTGTGCACATCTGCTTCTTCCTCCAGGACCCCAGTCTAGGATGATGATGGGTCAAGCTGGTCATTACCCAAGTGGCCCCTCCCTGACTAGCCCATCGGTTTATCACAGAGCTGAAGGGTGAAGAGCCAGCTGTTAGCTTTAAATTCTCCAAGACTAGCAGTA